TTCGGCATATGTTTGATAATCACTTACAGAAGGGGGGGTGGGGTTGTCTGACCTCGCTGTGGAGCAGCAGAGCGACAAACCTTTTCACCTGGGAGATGATCAACTGTGTAATAGTCATGTAAACTGATACCTCAGAATGACCTGAGGTATCAGGGTCGACACCTCGGTCACACTCTGACCTTATCTGTGTCAAAGTGAAGCGATTAACATGTCCAGGACTAAAAAACAATCTGGTCAACTGTACAGAATGAAACAGAAAGTTGTTTATTACAGGTGAAGAATGATTCACCTGTAGGTTTCCCACAAGTTTCAGGTTACATAATTTACATATTAAGCAATACTACAGGTCTGTTGGGCAGTGGGCCCACCAGAGAATAAACCTTCATAGCCTTGTATAAAAAAAAAAAAAGTCAAGTTTAAGCAAAATCATCAGCAACATTGCCTTGAAAAATGTAGTTCTGCAGCTGGTATCTATTTATGTCCAATCTCTGAATACATTCGTTTTTATTTAGGCATTTATATGTAGGTATCATCTATGAGTAATTTCTAAGAGACAGGATATGATCTCACTTCTCTTTTATTGGCCCTGCCTTTAACTCTAAAACAATAACTTGTGAATATGATCGTTTTCTAGTATTTCTTTAGATGTTTCGGAGAAGAAAGTGCAGCTTGAACTTGGAACTATCTCATTTGACCAGTAGTTGTTTTTCTGGGATTTTTGGTGGAATGACACATTTAATGTTTTAGATTAATCTACTTTCCCACAAGGACTAGCCCTACTTTAATATGTCATGAGACTGTGTTAATATTACAAATGAAATCAGGCTATCCTTTTTAATTAATTCACTCATTGAGTTTAAATCTAGGTGGGTTAATCTCTAAACAGCAAAAGCTGATTATGAGATAATCAGACAGATATTAACATGACAATACCCATATAGCATTACCTTATCAGACTACAATCACGTTATTTATGCATGTAAACAGACTGATTCACATTTAGGTTATGCACACTTAGACACCATCTTTCTACTGTTACCTCCACCTTCTTGTTGAACATTTTCTCTCCATCGTTGACTCTCACAGCACTCGTACGCTCTGTCTGCCCTCAGGCTTTTAACGTCTGAATCACTTTTTTCTCTCTCTGGCAGCTGTTTTACCTGTAATGTTTTTGGTGGAGTTTCTATGTGTCACTCTGTGGTTTCTTAAAATTATGAGCGCCTGCTGGTGTTGAAAGAGACAGTTTGCACCTCCGTACAGTTCACATGACAGCATCATTTGTTTGGCAGTTATCCTATGCTATAATCTTACAGTCATTTATAAATATGTGGTTGACGAGCAGCTCAGTCTGCTCTACAGTGGTCTAACAACTCTTAAACACCTTTGAAAAAAGTATTCAATGCCGGTTTGAAGTTTGGATGTTTGAAGGAGATTTTAATGTAGATTTATCAACAGAAAAAACACACTTTAAGTGAAAAGGTCTCTATAAGGTGAAATTAATTGATGACAAATACATAAATAAAAAAGCTGTCGTATGTATTGATCTTTTAATCTGACACACCTTAATTACCTCCAATACGGCCGATTAGTTTTAGCAGTCTTTTATTCGATTTAACGGAACTTACCTGTTTAGGGTCAAAGGCTTTCAATTGATTGTAGTATAAATACTCATGTAGTCATGTTGGGAGGGGCCAACAAACGAGATGTGCCCAGACCTATAACACAGCAAAGGAATTGAGGGCAGTCTTCTTTTTACTGCATAAATGAATTACATGTACTTCAACATTTTTGTAAAATACAATGTTAGTGGCTGTTTTCACACTCATGGTCCTCACCAGTGGATTATTGTTTTTTTTTTTCTTTGGTTATTGTGTATCTGTAGATGTTACAAGTAAGCATTATGAGCACTCTTTCTGATCATTACTGGCTTAAAAAGTGCTCACAATAAACAGACATCCAAATTTGCTCTGTTTTTTCTCTGATCTTTGGAGTGTAAAGATTTCCCCTTTATTCTAAAGACAGATTTGATCCACAGTAGTGTTTGGACAGCAACATTTTGTTTTTCTGACACCACTTTTTTCGTGATGGAACTACATTTTTCAGTGGTTCCCTTTTTGCTCAGGAGACTGCTTTTTGTGATCGAACCAAATGTCAATGTTTTATTTTGGCCCATTAACCAGGTTTTCTTATATGTAACAAAGTACTTTTGGTGTGTAAACAGGAAGGTTTGTCAGCATTATTCATGTCGTACAAGTAAGCAATGTGATATAAAGGAACTGATGTAGCTTTTAGGTACATACAAACAACTCTAACTGATTTTCTTTTTCACACAGGACACGAACCGTCATGTTCACAGAGGCAGGTCTGTGTTTACTCAACTCATTAATTCAAGTGTTAACTGTCTTACTCTTACTCAAGCTGCAACCTCCGGTGTTGAAAAATGATGCCAATGCAGAAGTGCAAAATCCTGCAGTTTGTCAAGTGTCCACTTGAAGCGGGCTCCAGGAGCCCCGGAAGTCACATACCACAACCAAAAAAGGTGTTTTTACAGCAGAAATTAACATGTTTACAGCCTGGCTGGTACTGAAAACAAACTAATATTTTTATTATTTATAATTTATAAGATTTTTTTTAATAACGCATCAGTTTTGATTTTATGAACGTTACTGTTCCATCCATAGTTAGGCTCGTAGCTGACATGATTGATGTGCGCGATGTAATGGTTTATGGTCATAAGGCTTAAACCCAGCCTCAGCTCCAGCTCTTAGCCTGTTGTTAAGTTGACTGAAAGTTAAACTTAGACCGGATTTCTGGCGAGGCGGCTGCTGCAGATGATCCTCCGGAGCCCCCTGCCATAACAGATGGCTGACGTCACTCCTATAACTGTTACTACGACAGATGACATCAAAAAAAAAATCTTGGCGGTGGCGCAGTGGTATAAGTGCACGTGCCCCATGTATGGAGGCTATGGTCCTCCAAGCGGGCGGCAGGTTCAAATCCAACCTGTGGCTCCTTTCCCGCATGTCATTCTCTCTGTCTCCCTGATTTCCAACTCTATCCACTGTCCTATCTCTCCATTAAAGGCACAAAATGCCCAAAAATAAATCTTAAAAAAAAAAAAAATTGTCAACTGAGATTCATCTTTGGACATTTCAAAAAAAGAAAGTTACAAAAGCATCAAAGACCTGGAACATCTTTAATAGGAACTAATTTGTTACTGCACCTTCATTATTTTTACAAGAGCTTGATTTTTTTTGTGTGAAGGTGAATTAAAAACACATAACTGGATTGTATTGGTTTCATGTTTCCTCCAATACAAAGATAGAAATACTGATTTAAATAAAGGTGAAGGAAGTCCTCACTTCCCGTGTGATAGTCCAGGTAACCTTGAGGTCAAACTCTATTGAAACCCTCTACTGCTGACTCAAGTTCAAGAATGTAAAAGTAAACACAAGTTGTCCTTTTTTTTTTTTTTTTTTTTACCTGTGCATGACAGCAGTAACCTGTGTGAAGGTGCTCAGGCTTTGTTCACAAACCACCTGATGAGAATCTGCTGACTCTGCAGACTGCTGAGAAAAAAAACATGAGAGTCAAAGTCAGCATTTATTTATCGGTGCAGAAAATCCAAACTGCTATCAGGCAGCTTGCCAGGCTTCATATGGTTATGATGTCCTGTAGGAGCAGAGGCTGGGTTTTGACTGATGTAGTCCTTACAAAAACTCTAGTTCAGTCTCTTGATCATTTTTGCTGCATGGAAGTGACTTTCAGAATCAAAATACCATGCAAAAATCTTCTGCCAAAGTTTCTCCCCTTGAACTCTATTCTTCAAAACTCTCTCAAACATTTGGTTCTTGTATCTTTCACAGTGCAGAGAAAATAAATGTTAGCATGAGATTGTTGTTAAAGTCATATTTAGCTTTTAAATTGCCACATGAAATCAGGCGTTGATATAAACTCAACAGGTGGATATTGGTTCTTTATGGAAAGAGTAACACTGTATCAGCATTTACAGTAGAAAACTTTACATTCAAAGTTTTGAATTGTTGTCAGGGAAAAGGGTGTTTTCTGGCACAGAGCAGGATTAGAAGTAAGCATAAGTGAAAGCAGAACAAAAATTTGGCATTTGATATTCGTTTCATCTTTTGAAAAGATAATTTCATTATAACATTGAATTAGTGTGTTGATAAGTTTAGTTTGATTGCTAGGACAAGATTTGTACCATTTCTCAAGAGTGGGTTAGTTACATGTTATGAAAAACTACAACCATGTCACTTTAAAGATTGTGGAATAAGGGCTATCTTGATCAAAATAATCAGCACTAATGGATAGCAGAGGGTCCTTTGGTATCCAACTAAAATGCACTTAAATTCTTACTCATCGTCCTTAATATCATCCATCTGTGAAAGCACAGTACCTTTCCCAGGTCCAGCATCCACAGCACTTGAATCAGCAGATTGTCACCACCAGCAACATTCACATTGTATAGTTTTTTTTTTTTTTTTAAGTAAGCCGGGCATCATCGCCTGGTTAAGCACAAACTTATGTCTTTAACTTTTGCAGTAGGCTAACTCAAAATGCTTTATGAGTGTATGTTGTGGCCGGTTTTGGCATTCATCAATCTTTCAACAGTGAAAAAACAATAACCGCAGCTTGGCACTAAAAGACCTTCATTAAGTAGCCAATGTTAGCATGAAGAAAACCAAAGACACTGTTTATTAAGCTGTGCCAATAAGGCTGTAAAAGAGTGAACTGCCATGCTCAAATGGCTTGTTTTCTGTTTAAATGTAATATACTTAATGTACTCTCACTATGTGGGAAAACTTAAACCAAACAAACTTGGCACTAACTTCTTCAACTTGTATAGTGTGTTGGGGATAAAGTATGTGCGTGTGTGTGTGTGTGTGTGTGTGTGTGTGTGTGTAATAACGCCCCTCCAAGCGGAGCAGCGGCTGGAGAAGTGCGTCCCTCAAGTCATTTTCAAACCGGGATCTGAAGTGACAACATCCCATGCTCGGAGTTCACAGACGCGCCTTCCTTCCTCTGTTGTGGATGTACTCTGGGATGAACTGAAAGTGTATTTTTTAACTTACGGAGAGGAAGACACTATATCGGATCTATGAAAAAACCCACGTGGATTTGTACAATCATTTTAAACCAGAAGGAATGCATATTTTGTTTGTGAAACTAACTTTCTTGTTGTCGCTGATAGCCCTAACACGAGGTGAGTAGTGGAGAGGTCCTCTCTCGAAAGTTGTATAACTTTATAATTTAATAATAAAATGCATTGTTAGTCACTCTACGAGCTCGTTTCACTTGTTGCATCAAGGTTTTGAAAACTTCTGAATTGAAACTCAGGTAGGATAACGAGATTTAGCCTGCCAAACTTTTTTCTTCTTTTTTTTTGACTCATCTTGCAAGTTTCCGAAGTTAGCTGTTCATTTAAGTTTACCAACATAACTTTAATAATATTATGTCCAACTTGGGACATTATTCCAAACATTTATGCTGAACGTCTCTCTCATCTCGAGTCCTGCATATGAGCATCATTTTAATCGTATTTTGCGCAGACCAGTTGCGCACTTGTCCAGCAAACGCTCAACTTTTTCCCACTTCGATGTAAACGCATGCCTTTTTTTTGCAGCTTGTATTCAGGGCTGCGGTCTCTTTATATTTCTATTATATAGCAAAGCTGTGTTACTCCCCAAACGGCACATTCTTTACGGTGCAGCTGCAGACAGGAGCATGCAACTGCCAAACTAGTGTCAAGCCCCTGTTCAGCCACAAAAAAAAGCGCACTTTAAGGTGGCAAGAGTCACACATAGACTTCACATTTATAGAGCGTTACCTGATTTATTTATAACACCCCTGAGGAAAACTTGGAATCTTTGTGACACTGTTATAGCTGCCAGACAGAAATATCAACTTGTTCCAGACTTGCTTAAAAAAAGTTTTTTTTTGCCAAGGTGCAGGTGTATTAAAACTTGTCCTTTGCAGGTCTAAGATGCTCCATGCCCACGGAGTCGTGTTCGAGCCAGGGGAGGTGTGAAACTACTCCAGAGGGTATTGGAGAGTGCAAGTAAGTTTTATTTTTACAACGCTCTGTTCTTTGTAACCTTGGATATTTTGAGGAATACCTGTGTGAAGAGTTGAAAATGTGCGAATGAGGAGTTTGAGATGACTCAGATTTTTGTGATGGGCGAGCACTCACACCAGTGTTGCTATTTCTGGGAGGCAAATGGTCAGAGGGCTGAGACAGGAATGAGTGGACATTGATGAGGACAGGGGTCACTACTGCGATAGTGTGCGTGCGTGTATGTGTGTGTGTGTGTGTGTGTGTGTGTGTTAGTGCCACCACACTCTCTCCTCTGCAGGCAAACTCTCGCAGCCCTAAATCTTGCTTTTCTATTCTTTCACGGAGCGACAGCTGGGGTTGCCAGAAGCTCGGCGACCATTGTTCTGTGTTGCGATTAATTCTGTGTGACTAATCTGGGTGAGGCTTCCCAGAGAGACCCTCAGACTCTGTCCTTCAACCACCACTACCCCCCCCCCCTCCCCTCCACTCCAAAACCCCTCCTCTCTCCTGGGATTTTGTCCCCTCCTCAATGGCCCTTGGTGCTCTCTCTCTATCCCCTCTCTCTCTCCCTGTCTCATTCCTTTGGACAGATGGCAGAGAGTAAATCTTTTTTAACCTACGAAAATACCGAAACAAGGTTAGCTTTTTGTCTGGGACGTTTCCAATCCACTTGTAAACCAATAAGCCTCAGCTATGCCCAGAACTCGTTTTTACAACAAAAGCCTACTTTCTCCTGGCTCTGTTTCCATCCTGGCATGAGCAGCACTGGCCAGAGTCATCTTACCGTCCCACAACTCATGATCAGGTGAATGACCGGGCTGTCCATGTCCACAGTTTCAAGACTGCAAGACCCAGGCAGCCATCTTGGCCCCCCGCCACATCTTAATTTGGTCTGGTTTTGTTGTGCACCCCTCACAATTACACACCCACCCCCTCCTCCATCACCTTCCCCACCTCCTCATTGGGCCACAAAGCCATCATTGTGCCCCTGCACTGTCCTCCTCCTCCTCAGACTTCTCCAATTAAACATGGAGATGGACGAGCTCGCGGTTTTGAAAAGTTTTAAGCGGGCACACAAGGCCCAGTGTGTGGTATTGTGTTTGTGTGTTTGTTTTTGACGCATTGCTCTGTTTTTGTGTGTCTGGGGGCTTTGATTAAAGTAAAAGAAATATTTGGATTCGTGACATTTTTCTATACATTTTGATTTAGCTTTTTAGCAGGCGGAAATTACGACATATATAAGTTTCCAGTGCGCAATAGTCATGCCTGTAATAAAACTGCTACTCTGCTCATTAAGTGTTCTTTCCCACTCATTAGTTGATACTTTCTAAACACTTCCACTTACATGTAGCATTGATCTAAAGGTGTGTTGAACTCTATTGCTCTGTCCGTAATCTTACATTTCCAACAGGGAAAACTTTCCACTCTGAGGGACATATTTGAATAAGCTACTCAGGAAGATTTAAGATGCAGGCTGTCCTAAAAAATGTCAGGACAGCTTGTATCACCGCTTTTACAGGAACTTCAGTGAGCATTCCTTTACATTAATGACTCTGATAGTAGGTGGGCAGCTGAAAGCATCAAGGTATGAACACTGAGATACTATATCATCAGGCGGATCCTGTCTGGAGCTTATTGTAAGGGAAAAATAGTAAGTTACTGTATTGTGATTTAAGCATGCAGTGATGTTTGTTTTCCATGAGGCTCAGTTTGTTCTTTGCAGAAGAGTAGAATAGCCTGAATTAAAAGCTACTCCTCTTGAATTCAGTATGATGTGAAGTCTGACAGAGATGCCCACTTGACGTGCCATACCATAAATACCATCTCCTCCTCGTATCTGGCCATGTGAGCTCCTTACTAAAGTTTATCTACAAAGAGCTCCGCAAAGGCCTCACATTTTTGCTGCAGAGGTTTGGCAGCGGGAACGAGCAGTGACAGAGCTGAGCCAGAGCTGAGACAGTCCAGAGTCCAGCGGCAAAACTATGACCAGAAACAAAGACAGTCCGTCAGAGATTCTCCTCTCTCGGGCCAGAGAGATGAGAGACGTTGGGCGGTCGAGAAAGGACGCTGCAGAGGGATCACATACCTCTGTCATCATCAGTCAGTCAGAGTGATAAAAAGTGTACATCAGATCTCAGACAGCCTGTTGACTGCTGAGAGTCACGTGATGAGGAGCTATCAGGATTGAGGTTCTTGTGGTAGATGATGGCCTTGAGTTTAAATCACAGAACTTTCTAGTTTATAACTAACAGTTGTCCGTAAACATAAACTTTCTGTGAGTGTTTATTGTGTCTTGTTAAGTAGCTGATTGCAAGTCAGACATTTGTCAGACATTTCTGCTGAATATCATGGTGATTGATGTGTTGTTTAAGTTTTGGTGTAGATGGCAGAAAGTGCCATCAAAAAGTTGAGAACTTCAAACCCCTAATCAGGGTTCTCTTATTTTCTTGTCTTTGTATTCCTGTTCTAAGTCTTTTAATCCCTGGCTCGTATGTGCAGCGAATGCTACAGTATCCATCCACTTCAATGAAAGCTAGCCCTTGTCTCTTCAGTTCTGGGGATTCCTTAATGGCACCTCTGTTCGCCCGGGTCAGATGAGTCTATCTTAACCCCCCCCCCACACACACACACACACACACACACACACACTACACCCCCTACCCCCCCTCCGCCTCCCCCTACATCTCCATTCAGAGTCAGGAAACCGCCTCAGAGTGGCCTGAAGGAAGAAAAGGTGCCGTATCTGATCATATCATCACACAACGAGAAACACACAGCGCCAGGCTTCTATATGGCTGCTGCTGCTGGTGTTGGGTTGCTTTTGGCGAGAGTCTGGCTGGTGAGAGGACTGATCATCAGAGCACTGAGGCTGAATGAAGTGATTCGATGGTGGGGAACCTAAGCGTCAAGGATTAGTGACATTTGAGCCTCCCTGGTTGGCATCTGCCAAGAGAAATCACATAAACTTTGATCACAGAGAGCTCTGACAGCCAGTGTGTGTGTGTGTGTGTGTGTGTGTGTGTGTGTGTGTGTGTGTGTGTGTGTGTGTGTGTGTGTGTGAGTGTGAGACAAAGAGACTGAGCATACTCCAAACCACACTTCCTCATTTCTTTTTTTTTTATTTTCACTTCTTTCAGCCTGACCACCTGTCCTTTCTGTGGGTTATGGAAGAATAACTAAGAGAGCCGTGCGCTCACACCCATACAGCAGCATGCCTCATAATACCCATGATTACTTGCGGTTTTACACATTCAGATCCACACAGGAACAGATTGACTCTGTCTGCCAGGTGTGCACTTTCACTGTCTGATATACACTCACTCGGGATTTGAAGGAAAATGAAGTGTGGTGCCTTCGTAGGGAAACAGATTGGACTGACAATTTGAATTATTGTGTCACTACAGTACATGACTCCTCACAGTGGATAAGACACGATGACATGTGTGAGGTTAACCTGAACAGCAGTTAATTGACCAAAGTTGTTTATGTATTCATGGGTTCACTGCAAAAAGAAACTTACTTTTTATTATAGAAGACATGTTATCTTATCCACTTAAACAGTATTTGACTGACAATGCAGAGACTGTTTTTCGAGACTTAACATTCCGCCCTGCAACTTTTCTTTCTGTCGTTGAGTTAAGTAGCAAACTAAATGTATGAACGGCATTTAAAATCTACCAAAGCAAAGCTGTTAACAACCTAACGCTTGTCTTGATTTATGGGGGACACTTGGGCAGGAAGCAGTGATGGGACATTTAAGCTCTGCCTCAAACCTTGAAGTCACCGCGTACAGTAACAGCCTGAGTGTCCAGTTGCAGTGTCAGCTACACCTTCACACAGCTGTAAAAGCCTTTAAGTAGTTCCCAGCCTCGTAAAGTAAGCGGTAGCAAAAGTCATTAGGGCAGCTATGACAGGACACACACACACACACACACACACACACACACACACACACACACACACACACACACACACACACACACACACACACACACACACACATGCAAACACACACACTTTAGTGGTCGGCCCCTGGGGGAACAAGCTCTTTCCCATGGGCTGTGTCCCTACTACTCTCAAATAAACGGGGTCTCTAATGAAGGCTGCCAGATGTGGGCTGGCCAGGTCAGCTCTCCTGTACGATTAGAGAGGAAGGAAAAGAAGGATGGATGTAAGGAGAGGGAAAGAGGGGCAACGTCTCCCCTGTAATTTCTGCAGCCAGCGGGGATTTGGTGGTAACTTTGGTTTCAGTTCCACAACAAACAACAACCCAGATTGCTCTTCCAGATTTAGTTCCAGCTGGAGAGCTATTTTTATTTCAATAAACTTGATTTGTGTGATTGAAGTAGAACTGCAGAGCTCATATTGTAGTGTTTGTTCACTCTGCCTATGGTGGCACAGTTGTCACTGTGGTTAGCCATGTTATGTTGAGAGGGAAGTGTGGAGGAAAAGGAGAGCCCCCCCCCCCAGGCAATGCTTTTGAAACAGATCAGACAAGACTAAAAAGGGGGACTTAGCCCAGGCACAGAACCAAACAGCCAGCAAATGAGAAGGGGTGTGGAGGGGGGCCAGAGGTACAAATATGCTCCCTTAGCTCAGTTTTACTCCTGAGGCTGAAGACCTCGAGAACGTACCTGACAGACAGAGAAACTGAATAAATACATCATCTTTACCCTCAACTCTTGTTTATTACAGCTTGTGTCTTATTAATGTCTCTGGCCTTCATGTCAGAGTAACGTCAAACATTTTTTAATATTAGGAAACTCTTTGATAATACATGTTTTAAAATGATAAAAAATGTTTTTGTTACTTTAATTATTAATAGTATCAAAAAGTACCAATGCTTTGAAAAAAAAATGCACTTCTTGGGTCATATCTAACCAAAATGCTTCTGCAAGCTAAAGAGAGAGAGAGCACTGCCTAAATTGTGCAAATATGTTGGCAACATTTTGGAATTTCCGACATATTTTTGTAGTTCAGACAGTGTGCAGGAGTTTCCCAGC